AGTCTCCACACTCCCAATTGGTTACCTCCCTCCACTCTCTATCTCCCTCACCTCCTATATAAAGGAGGTGGAAAAAGCCTAATCAAGGTAAGTTGATTCTCCCTACAACCAACCCCTTGTGAGAATTCGACACACTCTTTCACAGATTTTCACCCATGAGATTACTGCCCTCTACTCCATACATATTTGCTCCAAACTTGAATCCTAACTTAAGCATCAGATTGAATTCAATAGACTAAGACGTAAGTGTGGTACCTCCATAACACCTACACAGTACTTGCCCAGAAATCAACATCAACATAAAATATAATATTCGAACTTCTTTTAAAAAAAGAAAAAGAAAGAAATCTTATCATAAGCTTTTCACATTCATTTTATTTTAGATTCTATATGATATATAGAGTTTCCATTGGACGTGGTCTAACAGACACTTTGATGGAGAGTGGGCGGTACACGTGGATACCCGTGGAGTATGGATGAGGGAATTGAGAAAGTGACGTGTCTTTATGTTATTGGACGACACAATGCACCAATAAATACGCTAAAATCTATGAGTTCGACTGCCAATAGAACACTATTCTCCCTCTTTTTTTTTTTATTTACTTTTTAATATTAAACGTTGATGATTAGAATATCACAAAATATTGATATTTTTTAGTATTTTATAAAAATCAAAATTCCATGACAAATATTTAAATAATAAGAATTTTACAGTTTTTAAATAAATTAAAAAAGGATTAATATTAACATTAGTTTCGTATTAGTGATATTATATTTGATATTTTTTATATTTTATCAATTTTTCTGAGATATTAGGGAAATTTCGATTCACTCCTCCTATCGATGTCGAATTCATGGACATATGAAAATATCGACACATTGATGAAAATTTAATACCCTATAAATAATTGATATTCATTTATTTTCAAACACTATTTTGGTCCATAAACATTCCAAGATTATTGTATTTTGATCTCGCTACTCTCAAAATGTCTATTTTTAGTCTATGAACTTTCAAATTTATTCTATTTTGGTCTCTAAATTTTCAAAATTTTATTTGTTTTAATCTTTTTTTTTCGACAGATTATTTGTTTTAATATCAACCTTAAAAAGATAACAAATTTTAGACATTGTTTTTATTTTGTCACCTAATATCTCCTTACCCAACAATCTCGTCTACAAATCTATGTGATTCAAATACATACTACTGTAAAAATAATAATAAAAAACTCAAATATTTATCATGTCAGCACTTTAATATACATACTCAAAGGCACGGGAAATTGGGATTTTTGACCCATTCCAATAACTACTTTGGACTTTTGACCCCCTTTTGATTTTTACCTATTTATGACCCCTCCACCTCAGATTTCTGACCCCTCCCCTTATTTTGCTTGGTAAAATTACCAAGTTACCCTCAATTTAAAAAAACAAATCAAACTCAGCCCTCCCCTCCTTTCCCTCCCTATCTCGGTCCTTCCCCTCCCTCATTCACTATCTCGTTATCCATCCCAGTCTTCATCCCGGTCTCTCCTTCACAACTAGAAAGTTCATCTCCGTCGTTTCTTCTTCGTCTCCCTCACTTCGTCTCTATCAGAGCTTCCCCCTTCCCTAATTGAGGTAATTTTTCTTTCGAACTCGCGATCTTATTGTGAATGATTTTCTACCTTTTTTTTCTTCGTTCTTTGCGTGGGT